TAAAATAAACTACTTAAAATTTGAAATATTATAATATTTTTTAAGTTTTTCAAATCGTTCATAAATTGAGGACTTTCTAGTCCGTATGGAAGATTTGGTCATGTGCCTTTGTCTTTCTGTTGTAGATAAAATATATTTTACTTGGAAGTCTCTTTAAAATGGCGGAAAATAGAAAATGTTTTTTTAAATAAATTCGTATAATATTCAAAGACCGCCTTTCCGTTGCATTCAATAATTGCTTTAACCGACCCTATTTCCTCCAAATATGTAGAATAAACAAACCAACAATGACTGTTGTAAACTAAATCGCTTTAGACATGGATTGAATGGATTTCCTTGCGATAATCCTTCAGACTTCAATCTGGCTTATGGGAAGATATGGCTTATAAGAATTTACGAACGATTCTATATATACATAAATTTATTTTTACACAATGTAGTGTGTTCATAGTGTTATATACATCAGTACTAAATACTTTCAGTAGTTCCGAATAGTCCATTTTTATGATAAGTTGTTATTCCTTACATAAGAAATAATTAACTCCTCATACAAACTTCCATCCCCTTAAGTTTTATATCCACAAAAAAAATATACTATGTTTTTCTTGAGGGTTCAACCAATCTCTATAACAAATTATATAAAATTCGATGTAAAAATAATCAAGATGTCTTTATTCATGTAGTACTATTACAGGCTCATATGATATGTCAAATCTACCGTCACTTCGGAGTGCTCAAGCTAAGAAGAACTAACAAGAAACGGCTCTTATTATTTTCAAATATAATTCATTTTTAAATTAAATTACGAAGAATGTCCAGCATATACTATTGCATTTTTGTCAATAGGAAGTAATTTAATCATTATTATCATGCAAAGGTGATGTAGAGATAGATAAACCTATTTCGTAGTTAGTTCCTATTCCCGTATACTTGTGTGGAATACAGGCCACTTATTTGTCTATAACCTATTTTATATGCTTAATATTTCTAAATTGTCACTGCTGTATATTGCTCCTTTCGATTTCCCTTCCTGGCCCTAGTTAGTAGTGTTTCTTTATAATATACTCTTATAATATACAATATATGTATATCCTACAATACAATTGGTTTCCTTTATCGCCTACAACTTGTATAAAAAAATATGAGTAGTAAATAAATAATTATTAGTTGGAAATATTAAATGTTTAAATTTACTTGAACTCACTATAAACTTTAATGACCAGCGCCTAATAAAAACATTATTCAGTATTTTATTACAAAACAAACCTCTCTAAAATTTTATTGCAGTCCACATTAAATTTTACAATAACATCCTAAGTTATATTTTGAAAGAGCCTTTTATATTGCTGGAATGATAAAAATTCTAACGACTCACAGTGGCAATAGTCAGCTCTTTACATGAACAGTATCATAGATAGCCTCAGTGATCACGGGTTCGATTTCTCGCACGGTACAAAAATTTGTATTCATGAATATGATTGTTTGTATCGGTCTGGGTGTTTTCTATATATATGTATGTAAGTATAAGGCAGCTTCTAAATCTTCTAAAGCACCGAAACCTTTAAATATTATTCTCCTTCTCCTTCTTATTATTATTTGTTAAATTTCATAACGGTTTAAGCCCTTAAACCCTAATAAACAAACTAATAATAATAATCATCAAACGCCGTAAACTGCTATACCTGTGTCACATAATGCGGAATGAAAAATACAATCTTCTGCAATTAATAATACAAGGAAAAATCCAGGGTTGCCGAAGACCAGGCAGACGCCGTCCTTGCTGGTTAAATAACCTCAGGCGGTGGTTTGGGTTGAGCACCAGGTCCCTTTTCAGGACCGCCGCTGACAAAGTAAAGATCGCCATAATGATCGCCAAACTCCGAAGGAGTATGGCGATCATTATGGCGATGGCGATATAACTAGGAGATGGCACCTAAAGAAGAATAATAATAATAATAATAATAATAATAATAATTTATATTTTGCATCCGATATTTACAATTTAAATAGTTTCCTGGTACCTAAACTAAGTAGAAACTTGAATTTTAGGTACCAGTTTCCTCCTCTTACAATTCACAATGGTTGGAATTACAATTTATAAAATGACAATTAAATAAGGTATTATTTACTTGCAAAGTGTATGTGTATGTGTGTGTGTGTGTGTAAACTCGCTTAAGCATTTATAATATTAGTTAGGATCACAATTCTGAAGTATGTAAACTTATTTAAATATTAGGCGACGTCTGAAAGCATTTTCACGCTACAATGTATCCTTTTAAACAAAACGTAAAAGCAAACAGCACGCCCTCACGGCACTTCCAAATCACGTCGCAAAACAAATATTAATCTTTCACTTTGTAACAACGAATTCACACGGACGATTTTCTATATCACTCAAATTACATATAATAATGTTCACATTTCTCCATACGAGTTAGATGAATACCAATCTATATTCTAAACTGGAACAGTTTCTAATTTCAAATAGAAATAGAAATAATCTTTATTCAAATAAACTCATTACAAGCACTTTTAAATAGTCATATTTTGATTCTAATGATTCAGAATGAGTGATTCGGAATGCAGATTCATCACAAGAAGAATGGGTAAGAAACTTATGTGTTGCTCTTTTGAATAGATATTTTTTTTATATAATAATTACAGTATAACAAGTAAGAGGCATGCGATAAAACAAGTATCCAAATACAAATCTAACAACTATTACAAAATAAATGTAACACATGAGAATCAAATTCTAGAATCTTATTATCATCTATACGTATTATAAAATCCGTAATAAAATGAATAAATCTGCCCTGTCTGTCCTGTCTGCTATGATAATATTAAAAATTAGAAAACAGAATTTGACGCAGCATTTTTACATCGTCTGAGTGATTTTCTTACCACTGTCAGTTATAATTTCAAAAGTATAAAACTTTCACTCAAAAGTTATAAAAATATGCTTTTACATTTGGGCTACATTTGGCATAAATAAATCTGAGAAAAATAGAGTTAATAATAAAAACAGATTAAATTATATTGTATTTTATAAATCATCTGTTTTATTTTTATAAAATTGATAATTAGTGTTTTATAAATGGTTTATTTATAGTTATCGTTTATTATTATTACCGCCAATAATAAAAATAATGTAAAAATAAAAAAGATAGTCTACGAATGTACAGGTGCACAAAATATTTTAAGGGGAGTGTGCCCACGATGTAAAATTACCATGTAGGTATTCTCAATACTCTTCCGGGCTGCGATGATGATGATGATGATGATTCTCAATATTCGTTCTATCTCTATTCACATCTTGCATCTCCCCTCACCGAGGCGTGATAGCAATGTTTTTGCCGTAAATATTTACGTTCCCCTCTACTTTGCTTACTCCATTATTACAGTACATATTAAAGTTTTTTTTGTATATTCTGAATTTTTTTTTACTTCATAATTCCAATATCTTTATTTTTTCAAATGTTTATACAGTCTTGGATTTTTCATACGAATGAGTTAACGATAAGATTTTTTGTTCTGGTGAAAATCGATTTAAGTTAGTCGTAATTCTAAAGAAAATATTGTTCTCATTTAAACAAAATCTGACTAATGTGCAACGTTGATATTAGTTGCCTTAGCCTGTAGACAAAATTTCATTGAGTTTAGTTAGTTAACATACTAATATTAAAACCGAAAGTTTGTAAGTATGGATGAAAAGATGGAGGGATTTTTGATACTCTTACACGCAAAAACTACTCAACGGATGAAACTTTACAGTAATATAGTTTATACATCATTACATAGTATAAAATAATGTCGCTGTCGCTGTCTGTCCGTCCCTATGTATACTTAAATCTTTAAATCTACGCAACGCATTTTAAAGCGGTTTTTTTAAATAGATAGAGTGATTCTAGAGGAAGGTTTATATTAATAATACATGTGCATATACCGTGCGAAGCCGGGGCGAGTAGCTAGTCAGCTAATATAGGCTACAAATTTTATGCAGGTGAAACCGCGGGCACAATTCATTTTTATAATAGCATTTTTTTATAGATAGGGGTAAGGGACTCAGGGTTCTTGTAGTCGCCTGTTTGTAGTTGCCCTAAGCGACACTGATTTGTACACAATATCTACACACGACGCCATGTTCGGGAATCATTTTTAGCTGCAAATACCTAGCAGCTGACACGGACACTGGTTGTTCTGAATGTTTCGAAACGTGTTTCTCCGTGTTAATTAATATTCCCCCGGCTTGTATTTTATTGCGAACAAAAACAATTCAATTCGGATTTCTTTATTTACATTCGAAAAGTAAACAATAGGAAAAAGCGGAAGTGGGAAAAGTAGGTTTTCAATTCGTTTCTTTGTTATCAGTCACTTTATTGTTATATTAATCTGATTTTCTTCATTACTGTAATATGTTACTTCTCTTGCCAATATATTTTTTTGACTATTTTTTTAAAATTTAACTTATCATAATACAACAGTAGTTTGCAAAGTAGCCTTGTCAGTAGATATACGTAGATGAGATGCAGGTTTGCATTAGTATGGATACTAATGATTTTGCATAAGGCCTCTATCATTTATATAATGTTTCTCAGCAATCACAGAAGTATAGCTAATGATGTTAGTATGGATAGCGAGATTAGTAGCACTAATAGAACTAGTGGATCTAGTAGGATTAGGAGTACTAATAGTAGCAGTAAAAGACTACTACATAAGGCTATTATAACAAATAGGATAGATTGGACTAATAAGACTAGGATGACTAGTAGCACTTGACGTCTAGATTACGAAAATTAGTTTTCCATTATAAATGCAAAATTCTGCTCGAAGTCTTAACTGAACAGATGTAAATTGTTGCGGAAAAGAACTTATTATCTACTTTTTATTCTGATCGAGCGAGATATTACAGTTACGTGGATGCATTCCACATTATAGATAAAATAAACAAAATAGCTTGTCTGCAATATTATCCTAATCGATATTGTTTCCCCTAACAGGTGGTAGCGACGTATGTAGCCGCAAATTCATCCCTTCAGTTCATACCGGACAGGCCGATACACTGGGCTGGAGGGCGACTCACCCCACCGCCTGATACTCCAGAGTGTGGGTTTGACGGCTCCTTATGTCCCGACAACTGTAAGTGTTCATTATACATTTTTAAAATCGTATTTGTATAAGAGAAAATGGTTTTCAGGCGTCTGAATTTAGTATTCGTTGTTTGAATCTGATAGTCTGAATAGTAATAATACAATTGTATACCACGATAGATTTTGTACATGTATATTTTGTATATGTACAAAATTTTTGGACGTTTTTTTGCAATTTGTTCTGCGTTTAATCTCATCATTGAATCAAAATACGTATACCAAAGCACACTGCGAATCTTTTGATTATTTTAACTATAGATACCTTCCATACAGTAAGCCTTGAGTTTGTTTACCAATTCTAGTCATAAAAGTAACTTTGTACCGACTTACAAGCATTTATTATTGAACGGCACAATTGATAAAAATAAATATACAAACGATACAAAATAGGGGGATGTTTCTTTAAATCTTTGCTAAGTGATAACGTGACATATTGTTCCTTTCGAAGATTACTCGTATATACCGTATATATGTGTATAGTATGACGAATGTATTTGCCAATATATAGACTGAATTTTAGATTTAACAAGAGCGATTGTATTGAATTCACATTAATATTAAAACATAACACAAACACTAAATTTTAAGTTTTATTAGAAGCTTTCCATAATATATTGGAGAAAAGTGAACCCAAGTCTTAAATAGACTATTTGGCTTTGGTCTGCCAGTTTAACACAGCACTTTACTTCCGATCGTAACCGGTTGGATTCTTCACACGGTACATTTTTATTTACGAGTATATTGATTGTATTGAAGTAGGTGTTTTCTATGTACGTTATTTGTATTTGCAGTATGTATTATTTTTTTCATTTTCAGATGTATTATTATATTATTATTATTATATGTATAACAAACACTCCGGTTATTAAACACACATAAACCGTATAAAACCGAGTGATGGTGATAGGTCAACTCCCTGACACCTAACGAAATTGCTATGGATTTACCTACTGAACATACCTTAAAAAAGATTTTCAATTAATTTTGTTTCTTTACTCTCTAAATTGATTTTGATTATTTTTTTTTAGTACAATAGCTAATGATTTTATCGACACGGAGGTTTAACGTCATTATTTTATTCGCGGGTACCGGCTACTCGATTTTGTACTATAAAGCTACCCAAACCCTTGTGCAATGATGAATTGATACGCGGCCAGCATAATGATGGAAGGGTTGCTGAAAATCGCGGATGTATAACCATTTCCCATGCTTCATTTAACAAATCCATTAGTGAAACTTTTCTACCGACTTCAAAGAAAGGAGGTTCATGCGTTTTGTTTGCATTTCCGTAAATATGTATGTCAGTATTTAAAAAAATTGAGTATGTCTGTCTGTTCTTAGTACGAATATTGTAAACTCTACTTTGTTTGGCATTACAATGATGCTGACTGTGACATGTACTGAATGAATAAAAAAATATAAATTTGAAATGTTTTAAGTTTGAAGAGGTCATTATTTATAAGTATAATAATAAGTAGTTAATCACGGGATCTTACAACGGGTTATTTTTTAACTCAATAAAAATAAAACGTGGTAAGATCCCGTGATTTACTAATTATACTTATATAAATATGAAATCTAAAAACCTAAAAAAAATTATAGTTTGTAATTCATAAACTAAATAAGTTAATATGTAGACAATAACATTATCAGAACGAAACATGGGCTATGTTTTATTTTCAAACAACTACAGAGAGATACATACTTACGGGTCTATTAGGAGGAGGGGCAGAGAAAAACAGCTGCCCCAACTAAAAAAAATTGTATTCCTTAACAATATATGTAGGTATTGTGTTATATTGACTTCAGAAAAAACTGCGTTTACAATAATTGCATTTGTTCCAGGCGGCGAATCCCTAATATAACATAAATCTTACAGAATCTTAATAATATAATAAACGCGAATGTTTGGATGTTTGTTCCGCTTTCACGCAAAAACTACTGAACGGATTTTGATGAAATTTTCACAATAATATAGCTTATGCATCAGAATAACACATAGATATAGCCTATGATTTTATTAAAATGTATATATTGAAATTTAACGCGGGTGAATCCGCGGGTACAGCTAGTAAATTTATATTATTTTGTTTAAATTCTCTATTAGCGTATGTGATATATTCAGTGCGGAAACCTGACCACCGCTACTGGAAGCGTTATGACCATTAGTGATCAAATTCCGATCATTATTGGATCTACACCCACACTGCAAGACGTGTCTCGCCTCTGAACGAGGCATCATCAGGCATTGAGTAAAGCTCGATATAGCTGGTAGCCTAGTTTTTATTGCCCGGGATCAAACTGTGACTCAGTCGAGACTGAGCTCGCACTTCAAGTAGCGGTGGTCAGGATTTCGCTTTGAATATTTGTGGTCTCACACATTATGTGTGAGTATATGAGTATTATGGTAGTGGAATTAAACAAAATGATATAAATGCATTAAGTAATAAAATTAACTTCCGCAAAATGACACCTAATTCGATAAATATAATAAGGAATATCTTACAGACATTTTACAAATTACATTTTTACATAACTCCTATACCAACTAATCGCTAATGAATTGAGAGATTAGGTGGACTGACTTAGACAATCACTATGATGTTATGTTAGTTTTATCCACCAAAAGAATTAGTCGCAGTTTTTTAAATATTTTAAAGTTGTAACTCACTCCCGTATAATTCAGGTATGAAAGCGATAAAGCAAACTCTCGTGCATTGATAAACTGATACGCGGCAGCATAATGACGGAAGGTTGTTGAGTATCACGGATACATAACCATGTTTCGTACTTCATTTAGCAAATCCATTAGAACTTTTCAACCGGCTTCAAAGCGAATGACGTTCATGAATTCTATTTATATTTGAATTATATCACGAAAAGTTGAATCTTCTGAAAAGTTAATCTTAATCTTAATAAGTTTGTAAGAATGGATGTTTGTTACTCTTTCACGCAAAAAATACTGAACAGATTTTCATGAAACTTTACAGTAATATAGCTTAATATACTGACGTAAAAAGGGTTGAAAAGGGTGGTATTAGGCCACATTACTAACGATACCCCATCAATGTATTATATAGATATTGAAACTTAACGCGGGTCAAAGCGCGGGCACAGCTAGTATATATATATATATATATATATATATATATATATATATATATATATATAATAATTATGGCAATACTGTAGAGATGTGGTATAAATTAAAATACTAAAATAATTATAATTCGTTTCATTATTAAACAAATAGGAATCGCGATTGTGTAGCTAGCGGTTTACCATACTTACCCACATACAAAGGTCGTGGTTTGATATCCACAAAATACAAATATTTCATTTCAAACATTTATGACCTAGTACAAGTTCTGCTTACTTTTGGGAGACGGGAATTAAATGTCCAATGTTATTTATTCTTTTATATAATATTTGTTATTTCGACCTCATGATCCGAATATCTTTGATCCTATGCAAATATTTGTACAAGCGGTTGTTTCCAACATTAAATATTAAAAACAACACGGGAGCAACTGTATTTAGGTTATTATTTCTTGCGTTTTTAAATCACGAAATATGACTATATTATTATTTATTTATTTATTCTTTATTCTACACAAACATAGGAAAAAATAACAGTATTAAGGCAAATGTAATGTACAAGGGGAAGCTTATCTCTAAAAAGAGATTTCTTTCAGCAAACCTAGAAAATGTTATAGGATAATGTGTTCACTAAATCAGACATACGTGTACGGAAAAAATGAAAGGAGACATTAAGATATTGTCGTATATATAATAAAAAGTCAAAATTATAAGTCGTACGAGATATAGACATACAAAAATTGTATATAAATATTATATAAAGGTCTGTTTAATATGTAATTGTAATATATATATATATATATAAAGAAATGAGTATAATAATACATCAGCATTGTGAAAGATAATATTTTTTACCAGACTTTAAATATTCAAATTCTAGAGCTGGGAACAATTCGTGGGGATATTACCTAAAACTCTAATAAAAATGTGCTAAATTAAATAATTAATAAAATAAAATAACATGCTAAAAACAATATATAAGTTTTTAAATGTAAACGGGATTCATTTGTATTTCTAACAATAATTGTAGTTACTTATTGTTGTTAACTTATAATATTATGAACTATAGGTATAATATTTTTTTAAGACGAAAGATTTAAAAATATTTTTGGTCTGTTTCGTGGTATTCGATATTTGAATTTTGAGATTTGTTGTTCCAGGCAATTATTCACACGAATAGAGAAAAAAAAGTTAAAAATATTAATAGGAAATTATATATTGGAATAAAATAATTTTATAATTTCATAAAAAATTTAAATTTTCCTTATGTAATATTCAAATATTTAAACGAATAATCTTTGTTTCATACTCTTAAATAAAGCCCTAAAGCAAAATAAGTACCTAATAAAAATGTCGTATCTCTTACACATTATGAAACAGAATTAAATGAAATATTCCACTGTTTTCAGAAGACTGATTTATTTTGCTTTTTTATCGTTTCCATATGTTTATCAGAATATCAGTAATGTTTATTAATATAATAGATGAAACGATTCAGTCACAGGAGCTATATTCAAACAAACAAAATAACGGAGTGCTTTGATATAGATTGGTAAACATTGGAGTTAGAGGCAATGTAAATTTACATGTCTGAAATGGAATATTACATTTTCATTGGGGTAAACACTGAGACAGATTTACTTTAAGTTATTCCCAACTCTATTACCATGGTATTTATTTTAATAATCTAGATTCCAAAGATAGGATACGCTTTCGTGAATATCGATTTAATTCACAACCACCATATAATCATGACCCTTATATATTATGGGGTTGTATGGTATTGATAGCTCTATCAACAAGATGTAACTGGATTGAGATGAAACTTAGTTATGTATTTAACGCTCTTAGGGCCATCGCAGACGAGCAACTTGAATGGAGTACAGATTT